AAAAAAAAAAAAAAAAAAAAAAAAAAAAAAAAAAAAAAAAAAAAAAAAAAAAAAAAAAAAAAAAAAAAAAAAAGGTGGTCTTCCTGATAGCTACGCAGAAACCAAAGGGACTGTAGTTTCCTTCTTTCAAAAAGAAGCGAAGGAGCTGGTGGAAAACATAGTTGTCTCGATGAGTGTTGCTCAGTTGCACATTTATTCAGTATATTTACCTAGCTATGCCTAGTTTTCTTTTATTGAAGTTGAGAATACATATCCCTGAGGGATAGATATTTAGAGATAGTTTGAGTAATAAACATTTGTATAAACTAGACTTTGATTTTGATCCTGATTATAAAGCTTTATAGATCCATGAAGTGCAAATAGTCACTTTTATTTTAAAAATTCTCAACCTGGTTTATCTCTTTAAGCTTCTGAAATTCAGTTTAGTAGGATTCAGCTGCTTCTCCCTTCCTTGTTCTCTTGTTATTAAGTGTTTAGAAAACTCTGCTTTCTGAAAAATGCTTTCTAGCAATGACTTGTCTATTTCTGGAGCACTAGAGTGGAGGAGGGAGCTGCTCTGTCATGTACTCCTGGGAGACTCCTACTCCTAAAGGTGTCAATAGTGTCATTGCTATGCAAGAGGTATGAAGATACTGTTTCAGAACTTGCCTCTATACAATGCAGAGAGATACAATAGTTTGAAAAGTTACAGTCAGCTTCTGTTGATACAGAAATACATAAATTTGTAGGATAGTTTGGATATTTAAGGGGTTTTTTGTACTGGGTGTGGTTGTGTGGATGCCTAACTGCTGGGTAGGGTCAACCCACCACAGCTTTAAAACGTGCAGCGTGATTATTTGATTTCGCTTTATTTTGGGAAAGAGGGTAAGAGGACATGTAAGAACTAAAATTTGCAGACAGTAGATCTTTGTCATTCTAAATGCTGTAGTTGTATATTATGAATATGATATGTGCAATTGGTTTAAATTCCGGGGGTCCCCTCATCTCTGTGTTCTTTCTTTGATGGTGCTATCTCTGTGACTAACTGAATAATTTAGAATTACATATCGAAAGTAGCTGCGAGTTGGCAGATCAAAAAGAGATTGGTCTCCACAATTATTTGAAAGGAGGTACTATTCTTATAGAAATAGTGACTTCTTTGAGAAGGGAGAGCCTTATTTTCATATAGTAGAAGTTGTTGCTTGAACCCCATGATAACAAACTTTCTAATTCAGATCAACTAGTATTTTGTATTTGCAATTACTTGATCTTGGGATTGCTCTAAAAATATTAAATCATTTAGGGGCAGGCATTGATTATGGTCAATTGAGTAAGTGAGCATACTATGGAAACATGAATTTAAGATGAAATTAGTATTTTAAAGAATGAAACAGATGATTGTTGTTATCTTTAAGCAAATATGGTGGCATATTAAAGTGCACAGTTAGAGCCTGTGCAGTGCTGTTTCTACACAACTCTCAGTTGATTGTTTATCATACCATGGTTTGACTTCTTTTAAACTTTGACTTTGAAATTACAGTGCTGGCTTTGATATGTAGGGTCAAGTTTAATTTTAGCTCTTTATCTAATGGTCCTAGAGCCCTGGAACTCATCTGTTGTGTGACCAAAAAGTAATTACTGAAAAAACATCACTTGATAGGCATGTAGATTGGGTCTGTGATAGGGAAGGAACTGTGGTGCGTAACACTTGACTGCTTCTGTGGTGCCATGTGATGTGCTGGATTACAGATACTGGGCACTGCTCTGTGTGTGTATATATGTGTATTATTTTGATGATGAAAAGAATTGGAATGTCCCTTTGCTGCTGGGAAAACTAAGTATGTGTATATTTCAGTGGTTGTTCCTTCAGTTGGATATTTTACAGATTAGACACAGCAGTGACTTTTAGGACATGTTTCATTTAATAATTATTTTCTCCCAATATATTTAGCAAGGTTTTTTCTGTTCCTGACACCAAATCGTTTCTATCTGGGTAGAAGCCTCACAATTTAGCCACTTCAGAATAGTTACCATCTTTCATTTCTCATTTTGGGAAGGAAAACGAGTTTTTGGGGAAAGTGGAATCACCATCTCTTTTCAGGAAGTAGAAACAAATGTGCCAAAGTTCAAATAATAGGAAGTGGTGACTGCCTCTGACTCTTACTCTCCAGTGAAAATAGTAAGAAAACAAAATTTTCTCTAGCATCAATTTCTGGAATCTTGTAAAGGGAAAAGTTTTATTTTTTGAAGGCTAACCTTCAGAGCTAATGCCACTTCCAATCGTTTTGTAGACCTAAGAAACTACGTATTATTTACAATGAAAAAAGAACGATGTTGCATCTTAACATTTCTGTTTCCTGGTAGTGCCGTGGAACTGAAAAATGGCAAATGTAAAACCTATTGCAGGAAACATTTTGTGCGGTCGGGAAGGATATGAAAAGTGAGGGAAAGTCTTGTGATATCAGAAGCTAAGAAGGAAATAGAACTGTTAACAGGAAGATTTCCTCCCTACCTCCCCTTGGCCTATGTCATAGCTTTTAATTTTCACAAAAAAATAGCAATCAAAGGATTCTACATCTTATGTGTGTGTGAGTGACTGTGTAGGAGGTTGCCCTACACCTTGGCATGCATGTGCACTCCCTGCTTTGTCCAGGGAGAGGCAGAGATTAGCAAAACTGGGATTTTCAAGGGAACTTGAGACATTCTGTGAATATATGGGATGATGACCTCTGTATATGTTGGGGTTTTTTTTTGCTTTAGGAAGTTATTTTCCTTTTTGGAAAGTCTGTTTTGAAGGGGATGGTGGCTCTGTTTTAATGTTACCACAAGCTTTGGGCTAAAGAACTTGCTTCAGTTTGCCTGACTGTTAATACATGCATGGGAAGAGGCATGTGTAGACTAGAAATCAGTGTAATGGTGGGATGCAAGGCTCCAGAGGCAGAAGAATTTGAGTCAAATTTACAATTCAGTATTAAACTATAAAAGACTTCAGAAAAGAAATACGTGGATTATCTGGAGTGTTTAATAATGCAAATTCTTAGTTACACCTTCTTGAATGAGAACTTAAACTAGAATGGATTTACTTGTAAACTGTAAGGTTCATGTTACATCCTGAGGAATTGTGAAAATTCCTATGACTAAAGAACAGGATGAATCATGCACTGAATGGTGTGCAGGCTTCACTGTGGAGGTACATCTGGCACCTATACAGTATTTAATTTTTTTATGTTTAAAATGAAACCTTATAAAACTTGAAAGATACTTTTAAAATCATATTTTCTGTAGGACACAGATTTTTTTTTTTTTGTACTTCTCTACTAATTCTATATATTGTCGAGGGATCAGGAGACACTAATAGTTGAATATTTCAGAGCTTGGATTGCTTTTGCTTCTACTTTTCTCTTTTGAGCACTAAAATATATGTGTTCTTGGATTCCTGTGAGAAGTATAAAGAGTCTTTCAAGTTTATGAATCGTCTTTAATACAACTTAAATCTCTGGATTTTACTTTTTACACAGTACTTTCTAAAAATGTTTTGTAGTTTATGAATTTATTGTTTTTTATCTTCTGGTAGCTTTGATTGTGGAAGGAGAAGGACTACTGATCTTTCATGGGTTGTGTTTGTAGCTTTTTGTTTGGTGTAGTTTGTTTGTTTGTTTTCCTCCCTCTAGGCTTTGGAATCTAACAAATCTGGCTAAAATGATCTGTACAAGTGTCTGGTACCATTGATCATTTTTTCAGTGATGTTCTGTGAAATGACTAATATAAATGAGGACTAGTAGTTGCAGTCTTCATTGTCAACCTCTTTATCAGCTTTGATCAAATGTATTCTAAAATGTGATGGTTTAAAAGCTCCTACTCGATTTCACAGAAGAACTAGGAGTCTTATGTGCCATGTTAATGCATGTTAAGATTTTATTCAGAAGCCAGAATTGCTTTAATGTATCAGAAGGCCTTGGTATCTGAGGATGTGATTTGCCAATATAAATAT